TGCCCCGATGACCGCCGCCTCCGCCGCGTCCCCCACCTCCTTGCCCGCGCTGACCCTGAGGCCAGCCCTGGCATAGCCCTCGCGCGCACGGGGAAAAGACTCCTCGATAGCTCGCCGAGCTTCCCGCGAGCCTGGAGCGTCGACCGCCAGGCCGAAGTGGTCGCCCAGCACGACGCCCTCCCAGGCCGACCCCTCGGGGGCGAGGTGGCGGTTCAGCACCCGCCGTTCTGGAGGGAAGCTGCCAGCGTGGGCGAGCAGCCGCATGTGGGACTCGCACGCCCAGTCGGGAGCGCTCAGTCCCCCCATGATCAGGCCGCCATGGCAGGGAACCACTTTCTCGGGGAGCTCGCGACCCTCACGACGGCAGCGCCTCCGAAGCCGGCCCAGCGCTGCGAAGCCCTCGTAGAGCCTCGTCGGGAGGGGGAGCGCCACGTCGTTGGTGCGGGCCATGTCGTAAGTGCAGTCAAAGGCGGGATAGAAGTCCTGTAGGTCGTCCGCCCAGACGCGCATGACAGAGCCAGCCGGCACCTCCAGGTCCACCAGCGCAGCGGCGCTCGGGGTCAGTCTGGAGAAGCCGCCCAGCGGCAACTCCGCCGAGTTGCGAGCGATGCGATTGAAGACGACCCTCTGCGTGTGGGCGTCCTTGAACACGGGGAACAGGGTACCTCGCAGGGCCTGCGGGGAGTCGGCCGCGTCGACCAGCTCCAGTCGCCCCACGTCATCCCACTGCTTAGGTACTGGAGGAGGTCGCCAGGCCTGCCCGCCTGGCGGGCCGGCCTCGCCGGAGGGGGTCGGGTCGGGGGCCCGACGGCGCGCGCCAGAGGGCCGGCACCCGGCCCATCCCGCGCCAGCAGCCGAGGCTCTAAGAACGTGGCGGCGGAAAACGGCGCCAGGAACGCCAGGGGGTCGAAGTGGCACTCGGCCTCGGCGAAGGGAGCCTTGCTCGGGTCGATGGTCATCACCTCGGAGTCAGGAGAGGGCGCCACGGCGCCCAGGGGGAGATGCATCGCATTCAGGAGATAGTCGAGCAGAGCGTCGGCCTTCTCCACGCGGCCACCTTGCCATTGCAGGGGCCGGCACATCGGTCGCACAAGCCTCCTCAGCCTGGGCACCATCTCGGACTGAGACGAACTGAGAGGCCTCCCCGCGCGGGCGCGCGGCGGGCAGCTCCGCGACTCGCCCAGGTGCAGGTGGGAGAGAGCGAGGACGACGGCGTTGACCCACATGTGCTCGACGTGAGTGCGAAGCCATCGCCTGCGTGCGCGCACGCCCCGCGGGGGGGCACCAGCAGCCCACCCGAAGGGCGGGGGGCAGGGCAGCAGACCGGCAGCAGGAGTCGCAACCTCCTGGAACCCAGCGGCGTGAATGGAGGGGCGGACGAAGGCGCCGAAGGCTGTGCGAAGCCCGCGCAGGCGGCGGATCAGGCCAAAACCCCAGCGGATGCCCACGTCCAGCGAATTGCTGCCGCCCACCAGCCCCCTGCGGTCCCCCGCGCGTCCGCGCGGCCACGAGGCTGGGGCAGCGTCACGCAGAGCTCCCGGGCCAGCCAGCCCAGGGAGCCCCGCTCTCACTCGTGGGGGGGCGCGCCAGAGGCCTTGCCTTGGCGCTTTGGGCCCCCCCCCCTTACTCCGTCCTCCTCGGCCCTCGGGGCGGCAGCAGGCACCAGCATCCGCTCCGCGTCCTCGAGGGCCAGCGTGTCCTTGGCGTAGCCGATCATGGAGTCGCTCATGCCCTCCTCGCTCGCGGCACCCGTCATGTTGAGCTGGCAGTTCCTCCTGGCCATGGCGGAGAAGGCCTGGGGGCTGCTCTGGACCCGACATCGGAAACGCCTCAGGGCGGCAGCGCCGCGCGCGCCGCCAAGTTGCATGCCAGTGCTCTCGCCAAGCCCGTCGTCGCGCCCGCCGTCCGCCAGGAGCGACAGTGCGTCCGGTAGGCGACCACCGCTCTGAGCCAGGTCCCCCGCCCATGACGCCTGCTGGACCAGCCGGGTCGTCAGCTGCTCCACGCGGCCGCTGGCCCCTGCGGGAGCCGCAGGGGGCTGGGGTTCCGCGGTCTGGCCCGCTAGCGGAGGGGCAGAGCTGCGTGGGGGTGGGGGCGGAGGGCCCTGCTCTGTCGCAGGGCCTTGGGAGCGCGAGGTCGCTTGGCCGGCAGGGGGCCGCTGCGGGAACGGGCCCGCCGCGCCTCCCCAGCGGGGCGGAGGTGGCCCGACGGCGGCCGCAGCGGCGCGCGCGGCGGGCAAGCCCTCCAAAGCTGCGATCCTCTCCCAGAGCGCGTTCTGCCCGACCGGGATCTGCTCCAGGACCCGCTGCCGCTGCTGCGGCGCCTGCCTGGTGAGGGCCTTCCTGGTCGGCGCCTTCGGGGGGGCGGGCAGAGCAGCCGGCTGCGCGTGAGGGGCTGCCCGCTGCCGCTTCAGCTCCGCCACCTCCACGGCCAGGCCCCTCAACTCCTCGACCGCGCAAGCCCGCTGCTGCTCCTGCAGCTCGCTCGGCGGCGTCGTGGCGGCTGGAGGGAGCGGAGAGGCCCCCCCTGCGAACCGCGCGCCGAACCCAGCCTCGGCGACCGCCGGCTGGAGCCCGGGCACCAGAGGGGGGCGGAGCGGCGGCCCGGAAGCGGGCGGCGCCAGCCTCATCTCCTGCGGCACGCCTGTCGCCACGAGCGCGGGCTCGCCGGCGCCCGGCAGAGAGTCCAGAGCGGCCAGCATCATGGCGGGGACCGCCTTCGCAGCAGCCACTGGGTCGGACCCCCGGCCATCGTCGTGGAAGGCGTAGACCTCGCCCTCGCCAGCCCTCAGCGTGAAGAACCCGAACTCTCCAGCGATCTCTCCAGCAGCAGGGGCGGGCAGCCGCGCCGCGGCTGGCACGTTCTGGGGCGTGGCGCACAAAAACCAAGCGCTGAGGTCCTCGTCCCCCTCCTCGCCAGTGCCGACCGCGTTCTCCTCCTGAGCCATCATCACCAGCGGTGGAGAGGAGGCGGCACCGGGGCGCCGTGGCGGGCGGCCTCGGCGAGGTAGCCAGCAATCGCCTCGTCCTCCGAGGCGAAGCGGCGCAGGCGGTCGCCGCGGAAAGAGCGGTACCCGCCGATCCGCCCGGCGATGGCCCCCCAAGCCCGCCGCGCGCCGCAGTGGACCCCCGCGAGGTCCGGGGCAGCTGGGCTCGCCCAGACCGCGTAGGCCCAAGTCTCGGCGCGCGCCGCTCGGGGTGCGCGGGGCGGAGCGGCCAGAATCGGGCGGGGCGCCGGCTCCTCGGGATCCGTCTGCGTACCCACGTCTCGTGTCGCAGGGCCCGCGCAGGGGGCCGCGCCCGCCGGCGAGCCGCCGGCCCCGCAAGGGGCCAGGTGCACGTCGACGGTCTGCACAGCGGACCCAGGCGCCGCACTGCCCAGCGAGGCGCCGGCCCCAGCCAGGGAGGCAGCAGGCGCCCGCCGGCTGCAAGAGGACGCCGCCGCCGCCAGGAGCGAGGCCAGCATCCACTGGATGGTGCGCGGAGAAACGGGCGCGCGCGGGTTTTTTTTTTTTTTTTTTTTTTAATATATATATATATATATATATATAATATATATATACATATATTATATATATATATATACATACAAAAAAAAAAAAAAAAAAAAAAAAAAAAACGCACTCAATGAGTCAGAATTGCGCTTCCCATAATTCACATGTATGGGAAACGCAGGCCTGGCCCATCGCGTGCGGTTCTGGCAAAGCACAGTGCGTTCCCCATGTTTCAGAATTCCGAGAGTTCAGAATTCTAAAATTATGGGAACACAATTTTCCTCCGACAAACAAAAAAAAACGCAATCCATGAGCCACAGTTGCCTGTTCCTCAATTCGGAATTAGGGGTAACGCAATTCTTGCCAATCGAATACGGTCGTTCAAAGGAAATCGCGCTTCCCATAATTCGGAAGTCCGAGAATTCGAATTCTAAATTATGGGAAACGAAATTGTCCTCACTATCCGCACTCAATGAGCCACAATTGCGTTTCCCAGAAGTCGGAATTATTGGAAACGCAATTCCGGCCCATCGAGTGCGGCTCGTGAACGAAAATTGCGGTTCCCATAATTCTGAATTCCGAGAACTCGAATTCATAATTGTGGGAAACGAAACTTGCTTCAACTAACCGCATTCAATGGGCCAGATTCGCGTTTCACATAACTCGGAATTCTGGGAAACGCCATTCTGGCCCATTGAGTGCGGTTAAATTGCATTTCCCATTCTCCGGAACTCGAATTACGGGTAACCGCGTTTCCCGTCAAGTAACAATTATGGGAAACGCAATTGTGGCTCCTCGGAATTCCGAATTCTTGGTAACGCGAATTCCTTGAACAGCCGCGCTAAATGGGCCAGAATTGCGTTTCCCACACTTCCGACTTATGGGAGACGCAATTGTGGCTCATTGAGTGCGGTTTTTTGAAAACAATTGCGTTTCCTATAATTCAGACTTCGGATTCTCGGGATTCCGAATTATGGGAAACGCGATTTTCTTTGAAAAGCCGCACTCGAGGGGCCAGAATAGCGCTTCCCATCATTCCGAATTATGGGAATCGCAATTGTGGCTCAAGAAAATAGCGTTCCCCATAATTGAGAATTCGATTTTTGGGAAAACTTTTTTGATTTGCGGCCCGCAAGGAAAAGTCCAGAGGGCGGTCAGAACGAGGCTGGGGCACAGCGCACGATGATTAGCGCGAGAACGCGCGGAATGCACACGCAAGACGATTAGGCGAGGCGGCCACAGGTGGGCAACCACAGGCCGGACCCGCAGGTGGGGCCGGGTCCGAACCCTGCCGGAGTGCAGCAGAAGCGAGTCGGCCACGGATGGGCAGACCAGGTGGGGAGGACAGAGAAGGCAAAAAACCGGACGCTGAACGTGAGCCAGCGAGCGTAGGGGGGAGCAAAAGAAGGGACGGACCCGCAAGTGGGGCCGGACTGCCAGGCAAGCCAAACCATCACTCACTTGGACGTCGGCCAGCCTGCACGCATCAGAGGGGAGCGCAGCCAACCTCCATGGGAGCGACCAAGAGAGCCCTGGCACCCGCGGTGAGCGTCTTGTGCATCCTGAAGGCACTCCTGTGACTGCAGCGGACGTCGTACACGGGCGCCAATCAGGTGCTGGACCGACGACCCTATCTGCCAATGCCGACAAGGCTGACCGTACTGTCACCACGCCAACGTGCAAGATGGGGAGCTGACGCCGCCGTCACACTAACGACGACGGGGGAGCCACTGCATGCTGCCGACTCCAAAGGGTGGGCCCAGACATGGGGAAGCCCTGCTGGCGGTAAAGTGTGGATCCATCGGGAAACGAACGTGGTCTCGCGCGGTGTCCCGCCTGAGGTTGCCCAGACGCTCGCTCGCACTTCTGCCCTTGCAGAGCGCTTGGCCGCGTTGCCCCACCACCTGCCGCCAGTTGGAGGAGTGGCGCCGCCGCAGTCAGCAGTGGTGGATCCAGCGCGCCATGCTCCTGTTGCGCCCCAACCTTTGAACCCTGACAGCGTCGCCGGGCGCGCGGGCTCTCCACGCCAGCTTGTGCCTGCTGCCGCGCCCGCGCCCCAGGGGGGGTCGGCGGTTGCTGTTCGGTCGGCGCCGTGGGCCCCTCCTGCGCCGGGCTCCGCCACGCCAGCGGGTGAGGCACTTGTGCACGCCAGGCCCCTGGCCAAGTTTACTACAGTCGAGGAGCACAACGAAGCTATCGGCGCTTGGCGCCAGCGCCTGCGCGACGTTGTAGGCGACAGTGTAGACGGCAGAGTGCCCACGCAGGCTCATTTTTTAGTGCGGTGCCCTAGCCTGTCTGACCTCTATGATTTGGCTCGCGCAATGGGGGTCGAAGTGCTGTTGGATGGCCCTCGCGCGGGCCCCGACGCGGCACCGACCTTTGCAACCGTTTCGGGCGACTTTGACCAGCCAGGCATGGAAGTTACCTGGAAGACGTCCCCGACTTTAAAGCTTACGGTGCAATTACAAAACAAGCGCCAGGGTAAGATCGTAGTTAAGGGCAAACGTGGTGCATTTGAAGCCTGCTTAGATCAGCTTTTGCTGTTCCTCGGCCACGCAACGGACATTAAGTCCGCTGCGGCTCCAGCGCGCGCTCCGGCCCCGGGTGCCCAGCGCAGGACTACCCGGTGGTCAGTGGGCGACTTGCTCGGCAGGCTATGAGTCCCGGGGCGCATCGCGCTCAGCCATTTTGGCCTCCCCCCCCGCTTGTCCTGTTCTCTGCCCCTGCCTTTTTCCTCCGCTTGCGTAGACGCTCGGCGCGTACCTGACGGCAGCCTTCTAGGCGGCGGCGGCGGCGGCAGTGGGATGGGGCGGAGGCCGCGGGGCCTTCCGCGCATACCCCTGCAGGGACGGTCGTTGCCATGCTCCAGGGTAGTGCCTGATTATATCGGTTGATAGCGGCGGCTCCTTGATAGGCGGCAGGGGGCACGCGATGCGGTTGGAAAGATGGCTGAGCTTGTGATCCTGGTTCTCACGTCGTCCTCTCAGGTTGGAAGCGACAGCCGCCATTTTTGCAAGACGGCGCTGCGCCGTTGCAAATATGTCGGCCTGCCTCGCCGGCGTTGCTGCCATCTTGCCGCCTTGTTCTCCTGTCGCCTTCTAAGGTTGAAAATGCCAGCCGCAATTCTTGCAAAACGGCGCTGCGCTCTTGCAAATCTGTCGGCCTGCCTCGCCGGCGTCGCCGTCGTCTTCCGTCGCCTTCGCCTCCCTCGTCGTCTTCGTCGTCGTTGTCGTCGTCGTTGTCGTCGTAGTCGTCGTCGTTTGGTCTCGTGGCACGACGCTGGCTTTTTGTCTCCCTACTTTGTCGTTCTCTCCTTTTTTTTCCTGGTGGAACCTGTGCCTGTGGGAGGGGTCCACGAAGATGGTGGCGCTTGGGAGGAGGTCCTGCTGTCGAGCCTCTTGTTCGCCCTTCTCGTTGTCTTTTGTTTTGTCCCCGCGTTTCTCGCAAGTTGGAGCACGCGTTTGCCATCCATGGAGCAAGGCCACAGAACGCTCACGCATGCCCGTGCGACGCCGGCGGTCTTGCTTTGTCTCTCCTTCGGTCGCCCTCCCCGTTCTCGCGCCCTCTGCCACCGCGTGCTGCCACCAAGCTCGGGCGAGCGGGCCCGGCGAGCAGGCCCCGTCGGTCGCCCCCGCCGGCGCCCTCGCCCGCGGACCCAATGGAGGCGGACCCGCGGGCTGCTGGGCGGCATCAGGTTGATCGGGTGCTCGCGCCACTGCGAGATAAAGTTATCCGTTGGGCGGCGGTAGGAAGTCGACGTTGTGAGCAGACGGCCGCGCTGTTAGATGCATTGGCTTTACTAGAGCTAGCGCCGCCACGCCCGCTTGAGGTCACTCGGCAAGCGGGCACTGAAACGTCTTTGTTGTGGGCAATCGCCGAAGAGCTCGAGCAGTTTCTACGCAGGGAGATTGTCCCAACGCTGGAGGCAAATCCGGCGACTGGATCGCCAGTTGCCTCCCCGTACGTAGGCGGCTTGCACCCGTCAGTTGTCGGAGCAGGTGAGTACGGGCGTCGGCCAGGCCCCTCCGCGAAACCCAGTCTGCGCTCGGCAATCCTCAACCCGGGACGCACGGGCCTCCTGCAACTAGGTTCGGATATGTTGCTCGAGCGGCGGCTCGAAGCCGTCGCGCACGCGCTGGTAGAGCGGGATGTCGACGCGTGCATTCTTCCAGGCGCGCGTTTTCCAGCCGGCGCCTCTTTGCCACCTGGCTTCCCTTTTCTGTGGGAAGGGCCCACGTCCTCTGGCTGGGACTCCGTCGGCCTGTTTCTGCGCCCTGAACTGGAGCATGCTTCCCGGCCACTCCCCGAAATCTCCAGCACTCGCGAACAGTGGTTTGAGCTGTGGGGCGCAGGCGATGAGACCACCCCTAGCGCCGTCCTCTGCGCAATGTACCCTGTCCACGGCGGGGACCGGGACACTTGGGCGCCCATCGTTGCCCATGCGCGGCTGTTGCGACGTCGCTTTCCTGCTGCTCGCCTGCTTATCGGAGGCGATGCGAACCTCCACTTGTCGCACTGCGCTTCCCACGCCGTTGGGCGCCTCTGCCCCCATTGTCGACAGAGAGCCCCAGATCGCGAGATCCAGGCGTGGCTCGATGACGCAGGGCTCCGCGCTTACAACCCCCCTTTGCCTACTCACGTCTCTGGCACGACGGTTGATCTGTTCTTGGGGCCTGCCGAAGCTTACCTTCCTGCATCTGTCTTTGATGAGTTCGTGGGCCTATCGGACCACAAGCTTGTCCAGGTCGGCGCCCCCTTCTCCCCGGCCCTCTCGCGGTCTGCGGGCTTCGGGCTGGCGCCCTGGACGTCTGGGGACGAGTGGACGTCTGCGCTCGAGAGTATTTCGGATTTGCCGGGCGCGCCAGCGGACGCTGTGGAGCCGGCCGCCAGAAGCACGTGGCTTAGGCCGCGCTGGTTTGGGGGCAACGCCACTCGTCTGCATCGCCGAGCTGTGCCCCGACGCACGAGGCGCACAAGTCCGCCGTGGAGCCTGCTGCGTGGCAGGAGCGGCGCAAAACGGCCCACCGGTATTTACCCCTTAGGGACACGAACGCAGGCGCGGCGGAACGCTTCCTCACGGGCGCATTCAAATCTTCAGCCCCGTTCGACATACAGCTAGTGGACGAGTCTTCCGGCGCGGCTCTCTCGACAGTTGAGATGCTCGACGCCGTCCGTAGGGACCTTTGCTCGCGCGCCGAGAATGACGTCCCGCAGGACCCAGCCGAACGCACGCGCATGTCAAGCCAGGTCGCTGCCATCCATCGCACTGGCGCGAGCTCCGGCCAGGCGGGGCCAGAGCAGCCGCACTCGGAAGTGGAAGCCGAGGCGGCCCTTGCGCTGCTCAAGCCAGGCAAGCGAACCACTCGCAGGTGCAACGCGGCGGTGCGTGCCAAGGTTGAGGAGAGTTTCCTTCTCACGCGAGCCCTGTTGAACTTGGCGCGTTTCCTGTGCGTTACCCGTTGAGGCAGTTTTCCCCGATCCGCAAATCGGGGCCGGCGGTAGTGCGTCGGCTCTCCGCCCTGCGTCCAGTTTCATTTGCCAGCGACATGGCGTCGGTTCAAGACGCTGCCTGGCTGGCGCGCAACTCCCACTGCTTACCGTGGTCTAGCCCAGCAGGGGCGCGTCGGTGACGCCGTGTCTTTGGTAATTGCGCTCGTCATGAACGCCCAACTCAGAGCGGCACAGGACCTTCCCACCTGGTGGGCGATCGCAGACGAGAGCTGGGCGTTCGACGTCGCTTCCATCGACGGGATGCTCTTGGGCGTCTTCGCCGCGGGCGTTCGGGGAGCCGACGGGCTGACGCTTGACGATGTCTTTGCGCAAGATCATCAGGTGGTAGGGCTCCGCGACTTGCTCACGCCATTTTTCGCTCTAGGTTGCGGCACCGCGCAAGGGCGACGCTTTTCGGTCCACGCCTTCAATGCGCAGCTGCGCGCTCTCCCTGTGGAGATCGAACAGGCCATGCCTGGGGGGTGCGCTTCTCGCATCCCTCCCTTGGCTCGTTTGGCCTTGCGTGATGCCAAGGACACGGTGCGTACATCAGTTGATGTTGCAATGTCTTCTCGGGATTTCTCTCTGTCTGCCTCGGCAGCGTCGCAGGCGGCCTGCACGGCTGCGCAAGAAGGCGCCCTCTGGCCACGTGCCGAGGCCTTTCTTTCCCACGCGTTACGGTCAATACCAGCACTCCCGGACAGAGTGGCGCTGGCGGAGGCACAGGGTCGCACCACCTCCCTCCTGTCCAGTTCGTCGACGACGTCACGACGCCTTCTCCGTCAGCAGGGGCCGTTCGCGCTGCGTTGCCCGAAGAGGCGCCCTCCGCATGCGCGCGGCGCGCCAGGAGGATGAAGTCTCAGTTTAATTATGGGGTTGGGAAGACTTGCGTGCTTCCGATCTTTGGGGCGCCACCCCCGTCGCACGCCGGCTGCCCCGTAGTGCTTGTGAAGCGCCTGCTAGGTGTCCTGGTCAACGGGGATCTTACCTGTCTTCCCCTGCTCCGTGAGGTTGCGGCGATGGGAAATGACTCCTTCGGTAAATTGCCCCACGCTGCGCAAAGCAGGGGGTCCCCTCTCCCTGTCGCAGCCGCCCGGGCTCCCTCGCGCGCGGAGTCCGTGGTGCTATGCGCTGCCCCACTTTGAGCGGGCACGCCAGGGGCGGAGGCCGCCCTCAATAATGGCGCCCTCCAGGGGGCCACGGGGCCCGCGCGCCGACGCTCGGAGCACGGGGGGTGCTCCGGGCGAAGGGGGGCGCCCACCGGACCCAGGCCCGCCACCAGGCCTCTGGACGCTGGCTGGGCGAAGGAGACGAGCGCAGGGAGGCGGGAGGAGAAGGACGAGCCCGCCGAGACCTCGTCACCACGGCGGGCGCGGAGCGAGAAACTCGGTCAGGAGAAGGGCCCTTCCAGGCCGCGAGCTGACAAAGACAACCACGACCACGACTACGACTAAGCACCCAACGACACGACTTGCCCCCGACCCCCTCCGCTTGAACCCCGTCCGCCACCTGGCTCAAGGCGAGCACAGCCCCACACCTGCCCCGCCGCCCGAAGACACAGACAGCCGACCCAGACTCGCAGACCCACCGGTCGATTTTCAGACGCTCAGACTCCGCAGCGCCGGGTCTTCGCCTTCGCCCACTCGGCGCGCCACGAGGAACCACCGTCTTTCCAGATGCCGCGCCGAGAAGAGGGAGAGAGCGAACAGAGAGGCACACGCCCACCACGAACATGCCGAGACCATGCGGCAGCAGGAATTTTTCTCCAGGCGACAGACCTACCTCGAGGACCGGTTCTATCTGAGGCGGCACGCGACGCGGGGCAGCGTAAAAATCGAGGAGCGAACCACCACGCAGCCCGACTACCAAGCTCACAACACCAACCACGACTCATCCACACCAAGCACGCGAGACTGCATCCAAAAGCTCCTGCGCGCGCTCCTCGGACCCAACACGAGACCGGACTACACAAACGAGGGCGCAACGGCCGTCATGATGCAGGCCGGGGTGGGGACGCTGGAGACAGACAGCCCGACCCTGCACCCCAGCGCACGCCAACGCGCCCGCCAGCGGAAGAGGAACGCTGCCGAGCCAACGCCAGCAAGGGGACCGCAGAGCGTTGCCAACACGAGGATGCCACTGCCGTCCAGTGGCAGCCCGCGATGCTACCACCACGTCCTGCCCGCGCCGAACGGACAAGGGCAACGCAGAACTGCAGCTACCGCCAGGGCCCCCCCGCCACCCTTGCTCACACCGGCAGCCCCGCAGCTCCCAGAAACGGGGGCCACCGCCTCAACCTGGCGCGCAAGAGCGAAGAGGGCAAGCCCTCGCACCAGAGCCGCGCGCAAACGGGCGGCCGCAGCAGGAGAAGCAGCAGAAAGCACCTTGCACCAGCAGAGCGACCACCGCGACCACCAACACCACGCGCAGCAACACCAGCGCGACGAGGAACACCGCAGCGGCAACAACGCCCACGACCGCGACCAGCACCACGCGCAAGAACACCAGCGCACAGCACAACGCAGCGACCAAGACCACCACGACCTGCACCACCACGAGCAGCAGCACCAGCGCAACCCCTCCAAAAGCCGCCGCGACGCGCGACGGGGTTACCGAGGCGTTCGAGTGGGCGAGGCCAGCCACCCAGGACCTCCAGACGCACCCGGGGACAGCCCCCGAACACCGCGCCCGAGACACACGACGTCACCACCAGAGTCGCCAGAGCACGCACCCGGCGGCGCGGCGCCAATCCCGTCGCAGGAAGAGACCCCGCCACGGGCTCTTTGCTCTGGCTACAAGCCGCGGGGTCTCAGCTTGGCGCGCCAACCGTGCCAGACCACTTTGGCGCCGTCTTCGGGAGGCGACAGAGGGCGGATGGAATTCTGCGGGCTTATTCGCCCCGCACGGCGACAGGCAGGGCGAGGCAGCAGAAGCGGCAGCAACAGCGCGGGAGGAGCCGCACCGACCACCAGCGCCGGCAGAAGATGCCAACATCTGCGTCGTCTGCCAGGAAGTGATCCCACACCAGGGGGCGGGCAGGGACACACCAACACAGGAGGCATGCTGTGGCGCCCACTTCCACTTGGGCTGCCGCGCCGACTTGGCCCGCCACCTTGGCGAAGCCACCACGTGCCCGCAGTGCCGAGCCAGACTTCCGACCACCGCCGAGTTACGGGCATGGCGCGCCGCGCAGGGCGTGGACATAGACCGACCGCCGCCCCCGGCCAACGACGCCGGCGCCCAGGCCGCCCCAGATTACAATGGGTTTCGGAGCTACGCGCGAGGCGAGGAACCACCACCACGGGAGCCACTTTTTTTTTGTTTTTCCTTCCCCTTCCTTACCCCAAGGCCGCCGCGCCCCCTTGCGGCCAGCGCGGGCCCCCCGCGCGCCCACGGCGAGCGCGGGGCGGGGGCGCGCCCCGAAGAAGCGGAGGGGTTTTCGGCCGAAGCCAGGGCAACCCCGAACCTCCCGCCAGCTAGCCGCCCCGCCGGGGGCTCCCGCTCAGCTGCCCCAAGCCCCTCGGCGCCCCAGGAGCGCCCGGGGCGCCCTCGGCCAGCCGCCGCCAGCCGCCGCCGCCAGCCGGCGCCTTGTGCCGCGGCGCCCGGCCCGTCGCCGCCAGTCGCCGGCCAGCCGCTCGTCGCAGCGCCGCGCCGCCGGGCCTGCCGCCGCCAGCCGGTGCCGCCGCCGCCGCCCTCGGGGCGGCGCTGGCGGCGCAGCTTACGGCCTCCGCGCGGCCGCGCCGCCGCGGGCCGCCGCGCTTCGCCGCGGCGCCTGGCCCGTCGCCGCCTGCCGCAGGTCGGCCGCAGGCCGCCGCGCCTCGCCGCCGGTCCTGCCGCCGCTGGTCGCCGCGCCCGCCGCCGCAGGTCGCTGGGCAGAGGGTTGTGGCTTAGGAAGGCTGAATCCTCCCCCCTCTGCCCGTGCACGAACCTGCGGCGGCGCTGCGCCTCGCGGCGGTGCGTTCGCCCTCCGCGCCGCCGCGCTGCCTCGGGCCAGCGCCAGTGTCTCCTCCGTCGCCTCCGCCGCCGCCGCCGCCGCCTCCTCCTCCTCCTCTGCGCTGCTGGCTGCTGTCGTGGTGCTGCTAGTCGCCGTGCTGCCCCTGGTCCTGGTGGTGCTGGTCGCCGTGGTGGTGCTGGTCGTAGTGGTGCTGGTCGCCGTGGTGGTGCTGGTCGCCGTAGTGGTGCTGGTCGTGGTGGTCCTCCTGGTCGTGGTGGTGCTGGTCGTGGTGGTCCTGGTCGCAGTGGTAGTGCTGGTCGCCGTGGTGGTGCTGGTCGCCGTGGTAGTGCTGGTCGTGGTGGTCCTCCTGGTGGTGGTGGTGCTGGTCGCCGTGGTGGTGCGGGTCGTAGTGGTGCTGAGCGCCGTAGTGGTGCTGGTCGCCGTGGTGGTGCTGGTCGCTCCTGGTCGTGGTGGTGCTGGTCGTAGTAGTGCTGGTCGTGGTGGTGCTGGTCGCCGTGGTGGTGCTGGTCGTAGTGGTGCTGGTCGCCGTGGTGGTGCTGGTCGCCGTGGTGGTGCTGGTCGTGGTGGTCCTCCTGGTCGTGGGGCTGGTCGTGGTGGTGCTGGTCGCTGTGGTGGTGCTGATCGCCGTGGTGGTGCTGGCCGTGGGCGTGGTGGTGCTGGTCGTGGTGGTAGTGGTAGTGGTCCTCTGGCCGTGGTCGTGCTGGTCGTGGTGGTGGTGGTGCTGGTCGTGCTGGCCGTGGTCGTGCTGGCCGTGGTCGTGGTGGTGCCCGTCGTGGTGGTCGTGGTGGTCCTCCTGGCCGTGGTCGCGCTGGTCGTGGTGGTGGTCGCCGTGGTGGTGCTGGTCGTGGTGCTGGTCGTGGTGGCTCTCCTGGTCGTGGTGGTGCTGGTGGTGGTGCTGGTCGCTGTGGTGATGCGTAGTCGTGGTGCTGGTCGCCGTGGTGGTGCTGGTCATGGTGGTGCTGGTCGCCGTGGTGGTGCTGGTCGTGGTAGCCCTCCTGGTCGTGGTGGTGCTGGTCGCAGTGGTGCGGTCGCCGTGGTGATGCTGGTCGCCGTGGTGGTGCTGGTCGCCGTGGTGGTCCTCCTGGTCGTGGTGGTGCTGGTCGTGGTGGTGCTGGTCGCCGTGGTGGTGCCGGTCGCCGTGGTGGTGCTGGCCGTGGGCGTGGTGGTGCTGGTCGTGGTGGTGGTGGTCATAGTGGTCCTCTGGCCGTGGTCGTGCTGGTCGTGGTGGTGGTGGTGCTGGTCGTGCTGGCCGTGGTCGTGGTGGTCGTGGTCGCCGTGGTGCTGGTCGTGGTGGTGGTCGTAGTGCTCCTCCTGGCCGTGGTCGCGCTTGTCGTGGTGCTGGTCGCCGTGTTGGTGCTGGTCGTGGTGGTCCTCCTGGTCGTGGTGGTGCTGCTCGTGGTGGTGCTGGTCGCCGTGGTGGTGCGTAGTCGCGGTGCTGGTCGTGGAGGTGGTGCTGGTCGCCGTGGTGGTGCTGGTCGCCGTGGTGGTGCTGGTCGCGGTAGTCCTCCTGGTCGTGGTGGTGCTGGCCGCGGTGGTGCCGGTCGCTGTGGCGGTGCCGGTCGCCGTGGTGGTGCTGGTCGTGGTGGTGCTGGTCGCCGTGGTGGTGCTGGTCGCCGCGGTGGCGCTGGTCGCCGTGGTGGTCCTCCTGGTCGTGGTGGTGCCGGTCGAGGTGGTGCTGGCCGCCGTGGCGGTGCCGGTCGCTGTAGTGGTGCCGGCCGTGGTCGTGGTGGTGCTGGTCTTGGTAGTGGTGGTCGTCGTGGTGGTCCTCTGGCCGTGGTCGTGCTGGTCGGTGGTGGTGGTGGTGCTGGTCGTGCTGGTCGTGGTCGTGCTGGCCGTGGTCGTGCTGGCCGCGGTCGTGGTGGTCGTGGTGGTCCTCCTGGCCGTGGTCGCGCTGGTCGTGGTGGTGGTCGCCGTGGTGGTGCTGGTCGTGGTGCTGGTCGTGGTGGTTCTCCTGGTCGTGGTGGCGCTGGTGGTGGTGCTCGTCGCTGTGGTGGTGCGTAATCGTGGTGCTGGTCGCCGTGGTGGTGCTGGTCGCCGTATGTGGTGCTGGCCGTGGTGGTCCTCCTGGTCGTGGTGGTGCTGGCCGTGGTGGTGCTGGTCGCTGTGGTGGTGCCGGTCGCCGTGGTGGTGCTGGTCGCCGTGGTGGTGCTGGTCGTGGTAGTCCTCGTGGTCGTGGTGGTGCTGGTCGTGGTGGTGCTGGTCGCTGTGGTGGCGCCGGTCGCCGAGGTGGTGCTGGTCGTGGTGGTGCTGGTCGCCGTGGTGGTGCTGGTCGCCGTGGTGGCGCTGGTCGCCGTGGTGGTCCTCCTGGTCGTGGTGGTGCTGGCCGAGGTGGTGCTGGCCGCCGTGGTGGTGCCGGTCGCTGTGGTGGTGCCGGCCGTGGTCGTGGTGGTGCTGGTCTTGGCGGTGGTGGTCGTCGTGGTGGTCCTCTGGCCGCGGTCGTGCTGGTCGTGCTGGTGGTGGTGCTGGTCGTGCTGGCAGCAGTCGTGCTGGCCGTGGTCGTGGTTGTGGTCGTGGCGGTCCTCCTGGCCGTAGTCGCGCTGGTCGTGGTGGTGGTTGCCGTGTTGGTGCTGGTCGTGGTGGTCCTCCTGGTCGTGGCGGTGCTGGGCGTGGTGGTGCTGGTCGCCGTGGTGGCGCGCAGTCGTGGTGCAGGTCGCCGTGGTGGGGCTGGTCGCCGCGGTGCTGGTCGCCGTGGTGGTGCTGGCCGTGGTGGTGCTGGTCATGGTGATCCTTCTCCTCCTCCTCCTCCTGGTCGTCGTGGTCGTCGTCGTGCTGGTGGAGGTGCTGTTCGTAGTTGTGCTGGTGGTGGTGGCGGTGGTTGTGGTGCTGTTCACAGTTGCTCTGCTGTCGGCGTTCCTGCGAGCTGCTGTGCCCCGCCCTGCCCGTGTGCGCCCCCACGCGGGGGCCGGTGCTCTCAGGGGAGCGCCGACAGAACGCCCCCTCGCCAGGGATTCCCCCCGTCTGTCGCTAGCGTTTCAGAGGGCACGTCCTCGAGCAGGCTCGCGGCCAGGGCGCCGTGGATGGCGCACGCCACCATGCCGCTCCACCTGCGCAGCAGCGCGGTCGCAAGCGACCCTCGCAGCGCCGCCGGCGCGCTCCTCGCCCGGGCGCGGGCCAGGGTAACGAGGAGCTTGTACGCCTCCTCGTCCCAGCGGCCGCCCGTCTCTGCTCCGGCTACGAGCAGGTAGCCCCGCCGCGAGCCCACCAGCTCAGGGCAAGTCGTTTGCTTGCGGCGCCTCGCCCGTTTCAGCGCGAGTCCTGGGCGGAGCCTCCGCGCAATCGGCCTGCCGGTGGCCCTCAGCGGGGATACGATGCAGGCGTCGATGGCGAGCTGCCTGCCGTGGTAGGCAGGGAGGCCGTTGGCCACCACCTCGATGCGGCGCCCGTCGTTGGCGGCAATGCCCGGGAGGTTCATGTCGCGCAGGAACACGTCGGCGCGGACACGGCCTCCTGCCTCCCGGCACACCCGGGCCCACACCCCCCGCCCCCACAGTACGGCGCTAGCGAAAGCGCGGCCTGCTGTAAGGCCGCGGGACGTGCCAGCCGCGAAGCGGTCAGAAGCGGGCCCTCAGGAGACGATGATGATGGTGGCAGCGGTGCAGCACCCCCCCCCCCATTTTGCTGCTGCGCTGGCCGCGCGCTCCTCCCGCCGGCGCTGGTGGCGCCAGGCGGGCCCCTCCTTCCGCCACGCGAAGCGGGCCTCGCCGCGGTGCCTTTAGACACCAAGGCAAAGCCCAGGGTGGGCGGGCAAAAGAGGGCCCATTCGGGCCCTGGGAGGGCTTCGAGCCCCGAAGGCTGGAGCGGGAGAGAGGAAGAGACAGGAGCAGGCAGAGGCAGGAGCAGGGAAAAGAGGAAACCCAAGCCGACTGGGGAGGGCGGGGTCCAACCGTTTAGGACAAACAACTAAGACCCCGCCCCCACAGTACGGCGCTAGCGAAAGCGCGGCCTGCTGTAAGGCCGCGGGACGTGCCAGCCGCGAAGCGGTCAGAAGCGGGCCCTCAGGAGACGATGATGATGGTGGCAGCGGTGCAGCACCCCCCCCATTTTGCTGCTGCGCTGGCCGCACGCTCCTCCCGCCGGCGCTAGTGGCGCCAGGCGGGTCCCTCCTTCCGCCGCGCGAAGCGGGCCTCGCCGCCTTTGTTCTAGCGATACTGGTGCTGCTGCCAGTGACCCTGCACACTGGCCGCCTGGCGGACTCTGCACGCCGGCGTGCTGTGTGGGCGCCCTGATGGGCGTCACCAAAATTGGGTGCCAGGCTCTGTGCAGCCGGCACCATCTATACTCCGAGTCGTGCACAGCCGGGCGCAGGCGCCGGCGTGCGCGTGGGGCCCAGCTGGCCCTCTTGTCTGCCGACTGCCGCCAGGCAGCTGGTGCCGGCGTGCGCGGCTGTCCTCCGTGAGGTTAGGCCTTGGGCTCGCGCCGGCGCACTGATTGCCGGTGGAGCCTGACCTCGGGCCAAGGCCCGAAGATGCCATCGCTGGCGCTCGGCACAGGCCGGTGCTTGGCACCCCCGTCCGCGCCGCGGCCTCCAGATCTCCCGGCTCCCCGCCCCTCCACGAGTGTTCGGGGCGGGCAGGGTCCGGCCCCTGACAGAGGGGGTTCCCCGGGCAGGCGCTGGGGTGCGGGCCTGTGCCCGTGCTCGAATTCTGGTGCTGCGGCTACGCTGGGCTGTCAGATTGCCAGCTGCCGTGTCTTGTGCCAGCGTCAGTGTGCCCGGCACGACCAGGCTTGACAAAGAGAGCCGGCGTGCCAGGCAGGCTTCAGCATGGCCCTTGTCCGACGGCTGCAGAGGGGACCCACAGTATCCCAAGCACTGGCGGGGCCCCCGACGGGCAGGCCTGTGCGCGTATGCTCGCGCTGAAGTATTGACCAGTGCCGAAGGCACGGGTGGGTGCGCCCTCCGGGCGCGCGGCTGATCTGCCGGCGGCGCGGGTGGTCGAGTTACGGCACTCAAGCACGCACGGCGGTCAGGCCGGCGGCTTGGGCTGGGCGCACGCCAGGTGTGCAAGCACCGGCGGCGCCCGCTGCGGCCCCTCCTCATGGGCTCTCACGCCTGGCGCCCTCGGCGCCGGCGGCAGCCCTGCTGGGGGCGCTGTCCTTCGCCGGGTTGGTCAGCGAGGAGGTGCCCCTGGCCATCTTGCCGGAGATGCCCTTCATCGGCTCGTGCGACTCCCACAGGTAGCCGCGGAACGCGTCCGACTGCCAGCGCCCGAACCGGCGCACCCGGGAGAGGTCCTCGGTTACGTGGTACATCGCGGTCGCCCCGCCGATCCTCAGGGAATGGCTGCCGATCTCCCCCCTAGAGAGGCCGGCGGCCAGCCCCGCGACCGTCAGGAAGTGCTGCACCTCGGCCCTGCGAATCGGTGTACCTGACGCCCAGCGGAAAAGGGGCAGCCGTTCTTCGGTGCCCTTTATCCGCTGGGGATGGTGAACCTGGAGCCGCTCCATCGCCGTGATCGGGCAGAGCGTCGTGCCGGCGCGGTAGTGGTTCCTCACCGTCCCGACGTTGAGCTGGTCCGTCTTGCTGCCCTTGATGTAGATCACCATCTCGTCGGCGTCCTGGAAGCTGGGCACGCGCTTCCCGGCCTTCCTGGGCTCTACGTCCTCCCCGTGCAGCACGCGCTCGAATGACCATGAGCGCCCGTCCTGGAGGAGGTACTCTGAGGCCCTCAGGAGGAAGAAGAGCGCTGTCACAATGGCCGCCCAGATGACCACCGCATCCTCCTCGGGGAGATTAGCTTCTTGCTGGAGAAAGCCGCGGAGCCACTCGAGCATGGCTGGCGTGACGGGCTTCTTCCGATTGGTCTCGGGTCCCTGCCAGCGTTTCAGCCCCGCCAGGGTGCTCCAAAGGCGACCTCTGTGGAGCAAGGGGCCCGAGTAGCCGGCCACCAGGTGGGCGTAGCGCACTGCGAAGAGCTTCTGCTTGATGGTCCCCTCAGTCCTCCCAACGACCCGCGCGAGGAGGACGGCGAAGTCGATGAGCGCCTCCTCGTCGGCCAGGCGCTCCTCGCGGTCGCGTCCTGGGAGCCAAGGGCTGAGCCCCTGCGCCTGGCGCACAGCTACCCAGAGCCGCCATCCCCCCTCGTAGCCCGCTCTCGTGCCTTCGCTGAGTTTCTGCAGCATGGCCTCCATCTTCTGCTGCGCGAACCAACTGGCGTAGTTGGCCCCGCCTGGCTCAGCACGGCCGGCGGGGGCGAGCTCCTTCCCGGGGTAGTTGCTCTTCCGCGCTACGCCCAGCGCCTGCGGCTTCACCAGGTTGGTCGCCGGCATATCCTTGGCACGTCGGGGGCTCTTCTTACGAGGGCTCTTCGAGCGGGTCACACTCTTGTCCAGCTTGACCTTCTCTGCGGCCGGAGCCTCGCGGGGTCCGATGAGCGTGTCCTCATCGATCGCCCTGAAGCGGACTGCTTGGGCACGCCGACGATTCTTGTGCATCTCATCAGTGAGCGCCCCTCCTGTCCTCGCCTCGTCCTCCGCCGCCAGCACTAGTGCGGGCTGATCTGGTGCCTGTGCCCAGGCGCGGAGACAGCGCTTGGTAGCATCCCACGCGGCCTGCTCCTCTGGATCATGGCATACTCCGGCGCGCTGCGTGCTGGCACTGTCAAGTGCCTCCGCCACCGCGGCCAGCACCGCCTCTGCGGTCCTCGGTGGGAGCGCCCTGGCTGCGCCCTTCAAGAGCTCGTCCTCCGTGGAGCCCTGGGCCCGCAGGTGGGTCCACTCGTCGTTGGCCCCTCCCTGCACTCGCCGAACCTCCTGGGGCGTCAGGGCACGGACCGTGCCCCCGCCTCCCCCGGTGACTCGGAGGAGCGTCGCCCCGGGTCCTTGGGGTCCTGTCCCCGGCCAGCGGATGGTGTCCACAGGCCCCTCCTCACTGTAGATCAGGTGCTTCACTCCATCCCTCTTGAGGTGCCCGACTGGCTTGAGGAGGAGGGGGTCGCTGGTGGACTGGATGCGGGGGTCCCACGACACCTCGCCCTGCTGGTCGAGCCAGAGGTGGTCCCTTCCCTTGTCCAAGAGCGGCTTGACGCCGGCTGCTCGCGAGCAGGCCGGCGGCATGTTAATGCACGCCAGGCCCACCCCCGCTTTCCGACGCCCGCCCGTGAGCACCTGCCTGGTCCGCGTGGCGGCATCCCCGTGGTGCGTACAGACCACCTCAAACTTCGAGACCACGTAGCCCAGCTGCTTGAGTGCCCTCTCGAACCTGGTCGTATCCACCCCGTTCGGGGCGTCCACGATTACCACTTCAGGGCTCTCACTGGTCGCTGCAACGAGGAATGCCTCCATCTCTCTGCCCTTGGGGTCCAGGGACAGCGACGCCATGAGCCATCCTGCTTTCTGGTTCTCCTCGGGTTCTGAGCCACCGAGGCGTTTGAAGGCTTTCACGTACGGGTTGATGAGGCTTCCCACTTCTCTGCCCAACTTCCCGTGGAGCGGGAGAGGTTTCGGCAGCCCATGCCCCCGCTGGAGTGCTCGGTGTCGAAGGGCAGCCTCGGCCACGGGGCCCGTCTCCCCTGGGAGTCGGAGAAGGCGCTCCTTGGCGCCCTCCAGGATCTGGCCCCAGGCTGCGGGGGGCTCGAGGCGCTTCCAGCCTGCAGTGGCCAGCGTGTCGTGAACTTTCTTGACCTCCTCGCGGGTAAGCCAATCGGCCACTTCGTTGTGGTAGGTCCTAACAAAGAAGGAGACGATGCGGCACCCGTGCATGGCTTCAATCCTCTCCACTAAGCGGATCAGGTGGCGTGCGAGGGTGTTATTGGGGCTTCTTTTGGTGAGCCACGCCTTCACATTCTGATTGTCTGTGACGTAGAACACCAGCTCGCCTTCCCACTTCGAACCCTGCTTCGTGGCCAGCGCGACCACCGCCAACAGCTCGACCACCGCGATGATCCAGTCCTCCTCGCTTCTCTCGCCCCCGACCGCTTGACTCAGGGCCTCGAGCAGGGGCCCGGCGTCCGCGGCCATGTACTCCGGCGTAGGCGCGGCTCCCCCTGCGGTTGCGCTCCCCCAGTCGATGGCGCCAATCGAGGAAGTGGTGGCATCGCCCCCGGTCCACCTCGTGGTGCGTGCTGTTCCCGGCAGCGCGAAGCGTTCGCGTACTGAAAGTGCCTGCGTGAAGCTGGCCTGGAACGTCGTGCTCCAAGCCTCGGGGACGTCGTAAAGCATCCTCACTCCTCCCAGGCGAGCTCGACTTCTTCGGGCGTGCCCTTCGGCTCTGCCCAGCTCGTCCCGCTGCTCAGGAGCCGGTCCAGGGCAGGTAACTCGGGGCGGAGGGCAGGTTGTGCTGAAGCCCAGAACTGAGCACAGCCTCGCAGCTCTTGTGCGACCTTCAGGGGGGCCCGCCTTGATCCCCTGAGCTCCGGGAGGGCGAGCAGGTACTGGGCCTTGATGCACTTGGGCTCTGGAAGCCTAACCACCTTCGTGTCGAAGTTCATTCGGAGGCCCCAGATCAGCTGCTCTGCGGCAAACTCCCCCTCGACGTCCAGCTTCTCCTCGTTGACCGCGTCTGGGCCCCAAACCCGCTTCATGGCCCCGTCGAGCTCCTCGGCCGAGAGCCAGGGTCGGAGGCCCACCAGCGGTTCGAGGACAACCCCGTCGTCCATCAGCCACTTGGAGGCGTACTTGACAGTATCGTTGATCCTGGGCGCCGGCGGCTTCCTCCTCTCACGCTCGCTCTTGGCCGCCCAGGCGAACGCCATGTACTCGCCGGGGCTGCCGGCCCAGCCGAAGACCAGCACGCCGTGGATCAGGATAACTCGCCCTGGCACCCCGACCCCCTTGCCCGGGAGCGTCGCCCCGAACTCCGGAACTGCAGCTGGCTCTAGGTGGTGCCACTTGAAGGCCCTGGCCACGTCACGCTTCGCGACCACCTGTTGAACGCCCGGGTGCCTTGCCTCCCACCAGAGGCTGAGCCGAGCAAGCCCCCTGTGGAGGGGCTGCTTAGCAGGTGGGTGCTGCTCCTTCGGGGAGAAGGCGTTGGCCGCGCGCATGTCGTGGATCGGCCGGCCCCCCTTCGAGATGGTCCGATCTGGCAACATCTTGGGGGCCCTCCCGCTGGGCGACTCGACCAACGCCGAGGCGGTGAGCACATCCTCGACCTCGTCCGAGGCCCAGAGGACGACGCCGTAGCGGCTGTCCTTCCAGGCTTTCTCGAACATCTCCAGCGCGTGGTCCACCGCCGAGGAGTGTAACTTGGCCTGCGTGCGTGCCCGCTCCTCCGTGCGCCGCACAGGGACCCCCATCGGTGGCCATCGCCCGGAGGTAGGCAGCGTGATGTGGGTCCAAGGACTTCTGCACGTCTTCCTGGAGCACACCGCTCAACGGGTTCCCGTGGATCTCCTCCCGTGCGTGCTTCAGCAGCTCGGCAGCTCTCTCTATGCTGCCGGCGAGGCGGGGGAGTGAGTTGCCCCGCCTCACTACTTCTGGCACCTTCTCGGGCTGGAAGATGGGGTGGTCCGCGCACCACTTGACGTAGGCGCGCGCCTCCTCCTGCGCCTTCCCTCTGCTTGTGGCCGCCGGCGCCTCCTCCAATGGGGGCCCCCCGCAGCGACCTCCCCGCGGGGGAGACGGCCATGGTGGCGGCATCATCGGCGGCATGCCTGGCGGCCTGCAGATCTGACCTGGGAGGAGCGGGCGCCATCCCGGCGGCCTCAGCAACGGCTGGACTGCGTGGGCGGGGGGCACGAGTGGCCCTGCTGGCTCGTCCTGGCGAGGCCTGGGCTGCGAGGGGCACCCCTTGGAGGTGGCTCGCAGCTGGGCACCCAACGATCTTGGCCTGGGCCTGGGCGTGGGCGCCTCCTCGGACGTTCCTGTGCTGCCGGCATCTGCCCTCCCAGTAGGTGGGCCTCCGCTGGAGGTCGTCGACCTACCTGCGGCCCGCCTGGCTGCCTCCACGACCGTCTCTGCTGAGCGGCTTCGCCTCGTAGGTGCTGCCTTCTGGGGGATCGTGGTGGTGGGTCTGCCCTTCTGATGTCGGGTTGGGTCTGAGGGGGCCTCGAGGACCTCTGGCGGCGGTGGTGCGCCTGGTGGGGGCCCCGCGCCCGCGGCGGGGGCAGGGCCTCCGCTGCCGCTCGCCCCAGGGGAGCTCTGAAATGTCTCCTCCCTACTCTGCCTGGCCGCTTCTGCTTGCCCAGGCCAGAGGCTCAGAGGATCTGGGTCCTCTGGGATGGGTGGGGCCGGTCCCGCCTTTGTCCTCGCGCACGGCTTCTCCACTGCCTCGCTCCCCGAGCTCTCGACGGAGTCCGCGTCGTCGCTCGGAAGTTTTTCCTCCGCCTTCTCGTACACGATCCTCTGGCGCTTCTTCGCGGGGATGTCGTCCAGCTCCCCTGCTTTCACCATCTTGCGGGTCAGCCTTTCAAGGATGTCGACGTACTCGCTCGCGATCTCGCCCAGCTCCTCGTAGGGGGTACCGGTCCAGCTCCGCGGCAGATCCTCAAACATGGAGCTGATGCCCTCGATCAGGAGTTCGCGGGCTTTCCTTCTCCGATCTGGTCCTGTGGGATCGCTGGCCGGGACCCCGAGCAGGTTGTTCAGGATGCACTCCGCTTCGTGGCACTTGTTCTCCCCGTCCAGGACGGCCGAAGGCAAGGGGGTCTCGTCCTCCCAGGCTGGGTCGAGTGGGGTGGCCGCGCTCTGCCCGTTGGGGGGCTCCGAGCTGGCCCGGCAGAATGCCCGGCTTGCGCCTGCTCCGCCTCGCGCTTGCCGGCATCCCTCGCACGACGGGCCCGGCGGCGTTCCTTTGCCTCTGCCAGCTGTATCTGCAGCCCCTTGATGCGCTTCTCCTCCTCCTCCAGGACACCCACCTCTGCGGCTTTGGCGGCTTCGAGCTTCCTCCTTATGCTCTCCAGCTTTATGCTGTCGGCTGAGCTGCCGCCGCTGCTGGATCCCCCGGCGGGGGCCTCGCGGCTCTGCCTCTGGAGGGCCTGGGCAGCGGCCAGCTGGAAACGCTTTCCTCCCGAGCGTGGTGGGGGGGTCCGCCTATTCCAGGCGACGCCAAGCTCCGGGCTGCCAAAGCCCTGGGAGCTGGCTCGGTCGGCGATCCTCAGCGTGACGCTGCGGTGGGAAGCGGGGGTGGCCTCATTGTGGTGCCACGGCGCCTCCTCGCGCTCCTCGTCCATAGCCTTCTTGATCCAGCGTGGTGCCCAGGTCGCCCAGTTCCCGATCTCTTCTCGCCCGATCCAAAGGATGAGGCGCTCCCCGGGTTCGACTCGATCTTCGTCTTCCAGAGGTGGTCCTTCTGCTCCTGCGGTGTCCCCTTCGTCGGTGTAGGCGAACAAGCGAAGCTCCTCGGGGCTAAGGACGTCGTCGCGCAGCCACCTGCAGGTCATGAGGACGCTCTGGAGCTCGTGCGTGTACATGGGGGCCCCGGGGATTGTTATCCATCGGTCCCCTCGCTGCGGGAGAAGCACCTTGACTGGCTCGTCAGCTTGCTGCTCGGCCTGCCTGGATTTCTTGACCCTCCTGGGTGGTTCCTTCTCCTCCTCTTCCTCCTCCTCTTCTTCTCCTTCGTCTCCCCCAGGCTCGTCGCCTCCACCGTCTCCTCCAGGGCCTGGTGGCGGTGCTCCTCGGTCGGGGTCTCTCTTCCTCGCTTTGTTGCGCTTCCACCCTCCCCTCTTCTTGCCCTGTTCGCGCAATGCCATCCCTTGGGCCCTGCTGGATGGTCTTCCTCCGCCTCTTTCTCCGTGACTGGCACGTCCTGGATTCCGCCAGGTGAACCTTGTCGCCGGCCTCCGCCGCCATCTTGTCCCCGGCCCTCGTCGTGACGATGGGCTCGAGCTTCTTCAGGAGCTTCGCAGGGGGGGTCCCCGCCCCCGCGGCCTTGACGACCTCGGCCCAGGCAGCGCACAGCTTCGTCGGGCACTGGCCGGCGTAGCGCGTGCGTCGAAGTCCACGTTGACCGACCTGGAAGCCGAGGGTGCTCAACTCCTCCCGAAGGGCCTTGGCCAGAGAGGGGGCCCCGCTGGGGATGCGTCCTCCACCTTGCAGGTGTGGGGGGGACCGGTGTGAGATCTTGGCCACGAAATTGTTGGCCTGGTCGCGCCCGTAGTACAGGGCCATGGTGCCCTCCGGGAGGTCCTCGAAGGCCTTCCCGGCGCGTGGCTCGACGCGGCCCCAGTGGAAGTTCTCGGGCCCCAGCTTGCCAACGAGGTCGTTCAGAGGGCGCAGCAGCTCGGGTCCTAGCTGCGGGGTCTCCATGGCTTTGGCGTCCACGGCGAGACCTTGGGCATGCACGCCCGCGAGGGCCAGCCGATTGGTCAGGCTCAGGATGTCCTTCTGCTCAGACGGACTGAGCGCGGGCCCGGAGGAGTTGTAGTAGTCGATCTGGGTCTGGGTCAGGTCGTAGGGGAGAGGCCCTTCCAGGGCAACGTGCTCGTGCTGATTGGTGCAGCGCCTCGCCAGAGAGAGCGCCCAGGGGTAGAGACCCTTCGAGACCATCCAGAACGTCAGCTTGCGGTGCCGCTTCGCGGGCTCCTCTGGGGGCCCTAGTCCCCACTCGCACATGGCGACAGATATGATTATTGCCCCTTGTGCGCTTCTGCAGCTGCTTGATCCTGGCCAGGTCCCAAATCTTCGGGTAGCGCCCGTCGCTGGCCGTGTTCTCGAGCATCCACTCCCGATCGCTGGCGTCGAGGCGCTCGCAGAGGTCGGCGGCGAAGTCTGTCATGATGTTGCTCTCGATCTCTGCCTGGACGGTCCCGTCGCCGTCTGGGTGCTCGAACGTGCGAGTCCCGCCGTTCTTGAGGCACCAAGCCGAATGGGTCGTACATGGTGGAGCCAGCTGGTAGACATTCGCCTCATCGGGCCCCGGTGCGGCTCCAGCGTCGAGAAGGAGCCGTTCTCGCACCTGGGGGTCGAGGATGTCGTGCTCATCCTGTGGCCCAGCCTGGGCCAAGGGATCCTGGAAGTACTCGACGGACGGGGCTGTCTGGAGTCCAGCGTCTCGCATCGCCTTTGTCCAGTTCCCAGTGCCTGCGAAGATCTCGCGGGCGCGGATGCCCCACGCGAAGGCCGGCCTGCGCAGGAGGGGTGCGAGGCCGGAGAAGTCCTCCTCCTCGAGCTCCTGGTTCCCGACGGCGCCTTGACGCGTTGGGAGCTGAGCCTGTTGCATACACTTGCAGCGCATGCAGGGAGGCGGCCGGCTGGGTATCACGGGCCCCGCAACCTCCTCCGACTCCAAGTACATCTCCCAGCCCACCGTGAGCAGCTCGCGGACGGGCTTCCCAGCGAGCGTCCAGGTCTTGAGGATCTCCCCAAAGGCCCGGCTCCGCATGTTGGGTCCCTGGCTGCCGATGGCCGGCGGCCGGAGCACCCTCATGTGGCCCCGGTGGATCATGACATGGACCTCCCTCTCGCTGGTCTGCGTCGGCAGGACGGAGTCGATCTCGAGCTGGTTCCAGTGGTTGATCCTCCAGACCCTGACGGTGGTCGTGTCGGGGGCACTCAGTGGGAAGACCGCGATACACCTGAAGTCCTTGTCGTGGTGCGGGTGCTGGACGTCGTGGCAGCGCATCCTGAGCTCGGCTTCGCGCGGTGAGACGAAGGGAGGTGCATCCCCCAGCGCGGCGGAGGCAGTAGTAGCACCATCCCACAACTCTCGGCGGAGCTGAGCAGCCAGGGCCTTGACGGCCGGCGCGTCCGGCTCCTTGTCTTCCCAAAGCAGGGCGGCTGCGATGTGGAGGACCAGACACTGCCTGAGCTCTGCGTCCCCCTCCTTGAGGCCGAGTCGGGTGCGCATCTCTTCATCAGGGTGGAGCTCGTCCTGGAAGTCGAGGTAGTCCCATTCCTGGTCCTGCACCGTGAGCTTCCCGCGGCCCACCCCAGCATCTTCGTCCCAGGCGGCACCTCCGATGCTGAGGTCCTGCGTGCTGCTCCTTCCCGCCTTCGACCCTATTTTGTCGAGGGCTCGTCCTGCTGCCTCGGCGAGGGTCGGCCCCCCGTCCCGGGTGGCCTCCAACAGGATCTCCTCCAGGCTCAAGGAGCTGCCCTCTGAGCTGGCACGTGCGAGCCTGGCCAGGACGTGGGAGTGTAGGTAGTCACTGATGTCGCCCAGGGTCGCGAAGGTCCCGTCTTCTAAGATATTCTCGATGATGTTCCATCTCTCGAGGGCGGCTGGGTGTGTCGTTTCGCCAGTACCCTCCACCGCGGGCGCGTGAGCGTGGGCGTCCAGTAACCAGTCCTGCTCAGGGCCCTGAACTGCCTGTCTGAGCTCCTCCTCGAGGGTGGTGGTCTGGATCTCGTCGAAGGCGGCACGGGGGGACCAGACAGCCGGCGAGCCTCCCGCTCGGCTGCCTCCCGAAGCTGCCCCGGGGGCCTCTCCGGCGCTCCCGCCAGCCCTTTTGCTGTCCGCTTCGGCCTTGGCCTGGGCTCGGAGCTGAGCTACTCGCCCGTCGACCGAAGCGGGGTCGACCTTAGCTCCCGACTTCAGGCCGCCGCGCCTGATGAGCTGCGCCTGCACGGTCCAGTCGAGGCTGCCAAGCCCTTTGATGGCCTCGTGGGAGTGGGCGCAGGCCCCCGCCGCCTTGGGGCAGCCGGCCCAGGCACAGGCATCCCAGCAAATGACCTTCCCGTTCTTGTCACGAGGGGCGTGCTTGACTGAGCGATCTCGCTGGAGGTCAGCGCCTTGCCCGCTGGGTAGGCCCGGGCGGCGGCCCGCTTCTTAGCAGCAGCCTTCTTGACAGCGGCTCCTGCCTTTCCTGCGCCTGGCCCAGCTCCTGCAGGGGCCCCTTGATCGGCCGAGGCATGTTCGTCGGCTTTCCCGGCCTTGGGGGTCCGCATCAAGCCCGGGGGGGAAAGGCGCGCGGCTCCCGGCACACGCACGCCAGGCGGGGTGGCCAGCGGCGGTAGGGGCGGAGCACTCGCTGCTGCGTCCAGCCCAGGAGGGGCCACAGGTTGACTGGGCTCCTGGCTGGTGTCTGGTCTGCGCTCGGCGTCTAGCTTCAGGAGGCTGTTGGCGAGCGGCGGGTTCACACCCTCATCTTTCTCGGCTCGAACACGCTCCAGCGTTTTCTCCCACCTATCAATGTGCGCCTGGTACTTGGTTCGCTCGTCGACTCCGCTGCTGCGCATGAGGCGCTGGGTGCACTTGATGAGATGCTCCAAGACTACGGCGATGTCTTCGTCGTACCCAGCCGCCACACTCTGCAGCGCCGAGGCGTCGTCCGACCCCTCCTCATGGGCCGCGAGGTACAGCGCCAGCATGGCCTCTCCGGTGCTCTCCTCTTCATGGGCCTTCCCTGAGGGGCTGCTGGAAGAGCGGCGGGGGGCCGAGGGGGCTCGGTCGCCTTCTTCGCCTAGGCCCCACCCGACGCCAAAGGGTGGCTTGGGAGAGCTGCTGCGGTCAAGCCTCGCCCAGTGCTTCTTGAGCTGCGCATCCATCTCGTCCGAGACGGGCTGTGGCACGCCTTGGGCGTCGCCAGGAATACCCGCTGGGTGTCGGTACACAAGCAAATCCCCACGGGCCCGAAGCTGAGCCCACTGAGGGCGGCTGATCCTCTTGGTCTTCCCGCCCACGGGGACCCCGTTCCAAGGGCGCAGCTTCTCCCACATGGCGTTGCTCACGACGGCGCCGTGCACGCCGATCCCCATCTCCTCTGCTCCGAGAGGAGGGTGGTGCAGTAGCTCTTCGAGGTAGCCAGCGGGGAGCTTGCCCTGGTCGCTGGCGACAGGGGCGTACTCGATCCCCGCGGCCTTGAGGGTGAAGCAGATGCTCTCGTGGCCCTCTGCAGGGCGGTCCTTGCAGCGCGGCTCCTCCACGTCTACCACGGTCATGCTGCCGTCTCCAGTGGGCCCCCCTCCGGGTCTGGACCTTCCCAAGAATACGACCCACTGCGGGCCGGCGGCCCAATGCACCCGCACCCGTAGTACAAGGTGGTCACCCTGCTCGGCCTCCTCGTCTGGGGCAGGGCTGGCATCCCGCGGAAGAGGTACTTTCGGAGAGGGCGACGCTTCGAACCAAACACCAGCGGGCGGGCCCCGTGGTGAGGCTGGTGCGTCGCGAGGGGATAGTCCTGAGGCTGCATGGACGCGATGGCTCTCGCGTCCTCGAACTCCGTCTGCAGGGGGAGTTGCGGCGGCCGGGGCGCTCTGCTCGCGCGCCCGCGGGCTGCGACTGCGACTGCCCGGCGCCTCAGGCCCAGGCTCGAGAGGATCCCGCGGCCCTGAACCGCTGCAGCTGCCTGCACCGCTCTGATTGCTTCCCCACCCAAGTGAAGAAGGCAAAGGGGCACGCCCTCCGCGTTGCCGACCGCCTGGCGGTAACAAGTCACTTGCGAGCACTTGTCGCGATACCGAGAGGCCCGGTAGACCTGCGAATGATGAGCGCAGAGGTGGGCGAAAGAGTTCCGCCCATCACTGGGTGGCGGGAGGTCCGACGCCTGCCCGTCCTCGAGGAGCAGGGCGGTCGGCTCGGCCTCCGCGGCGTCGCGGCAACCGTCTGGGGCCAGGGGGCGGGCACCCCCACGAAGTACGATGCCGACCCGAACTGCCTCGCATGGTTTGTCCTCGGCCTCCACCTCCGACTCGGATTCCTGATCGAGGACTTCTGCGATGCTCCCTGCAACGCCTGGCTCCGCAGCGCCTGTCTTGCGACGGCGGCGTCGCCGGCAGCAGAAAGAGCAACCGCAGGATAGGATGCAGTAGATGAACACAATGATCTTCCAGGTGCCTCTCCCCAGGTCGGCGAAGGTCCGCCAGAGCAAGAAGGTGCCGCGGCAGGAGGTGAACTTGGCGTGGGAGCCGATGTCCACGATAGCCTCAGAATCCAGCGCGGCGTACTCTTTGCAATGGACTTCCCCAGGTTGATCTCGGCAGACCATGTTGCGGCACAGGTGGATGGAGCGGCCCTCGAGCGTCTCCAACTTCTGGCGGAGTGCGCGTGAGCTAGCCCCTTTCACGCTCAGGCAGTCTATCCAAAGGCCCCTCCGGTCAATCCGCTTGGGTTCCGCGAGGTCGATCTTCAGTCGGGCGACGTGGTCGTCGATCTTGACCAGCACGTCGTTGGGTCGCCTCCCAGTCCCACGACCCTTCACCCTCTTGCTGTAATACGCGGTAGTCGTAGCTGGCCCGGTCTCTGGCACCATCCAGTGGATCTGGGTAAGGGCAGGCGGAGCCGGCGGCAGGTACCTTTCGGCAGCTGCATCGCCAGGCTCTCGCCGGCGGCACTTGAAGCACCGCGCCAGTAGACCAATCAGCCAGAGGGCAGCTGCGCAGGGGGCCAGCAGAGTACGACAGATATGGGTAAGAAAGGCAAGCACCGCCAGGAAAGCCAAGAAGATGAACGTCCACGCCACGGCAGGCCATGCGGCCCCGAAGACCGTCAGGCCCAGCTTCTCGAGGGCGTAGAAGAACCAGCCGCCGTCCTTGGTCAGCCAGCCCGTCTCGGCATGGGTGGAGAAGGCGCTCCCGAGGCTGTCCAGCCTCTCGTAGGCAACCCCGCCCATGCCACTCAAGCGCCAGGCCCAGGTGCCTTCGCTCAGGGGCCTCCACCCCAGCGCCCAGACACCCCAGCCGCCCACCCAGGACTCCTCGCCACGCGGGTCGTCGGTGGGGTGGCTGCCGTTGTCGACTCCTCCGGCGGCATGGACGGGGGGCGGGGGCGGCGCTCCCGGCGGCCCGCTGTCGGGCGACGCCTGGGGGCTGCCTGCGGCCCCGCCTTCCTCCTCGTGCTCGTCGATCTCCACGACGTACTCGGAGTCGTCGTAGTACGGCACGGTGTACCCGAACGGGACCTCGCGGGCCACTGCCGGGCTGCCCCATCCGGCACGGGCGACAGCTGTGCTGAGCGGCCCGCGCCAGTCGTAGGCGGTCGCGCCGGTGGCCAGCGCGATCAGTCCGCGTGCGGAGCCTGCCAGCGCTGGGCGCCGGGCGGCCATGGCACGCACGCTTCCGGGCGCCCGAGGGCGCCCAGACCTCCTGAGGTCGGCTCCAGGGCTTTGGGCCCCGAAGGCTTGAGCGGGAGAGAGGGAGAGAGAGGAGCAGGCAGAGGCAGGAGCAGGGAAAAGAGGAAACCCAAGCCGACTGGGGAGGGCGGGGTCCAACCGTTTAGGACAAACAACTAATCCGTTCGATGGGAGCGCCGCGCTTCAGCAGGCGTCCGCTGCGGGGGCAAGCTGCTCTGTGGTCGCCTCTCTCGTCCAAGTGGGCCTGGCAGGAGCGCCCGCTGCACCTGCTTGCCGTGGCGTCCAGCGGCAAGCGGAGCCGTCTCTGCAGCAGTGCCCGGAAGGGCTCTGGCGTGAACGTGCTTTCTGGCGTCGAGGGGATCAGGGCCAGGTGCCGTCCGCCGCATCGGCCCCCCTGCGAGTCGAGCATCCACTGCTGGTCGTCTGTGAGGCTCGGGAGAACGACCTCCTCCCTTTAGCGCAGCTCTCGGGCTGCGGAGGCGTGGCACTGCCATCCGTGCTTCCACTCGCCCGGCTCTGGCTCTGTCTGTTCAGGGCGCGCGCCGTCCCAGACCTCCTGCCAAGTTGGGCACGTCGCAAAGCCGTCGCGGGCGGCGGCAGCCCTCGCGCGCTCAGCTTCCTGGAGGCACGAGGCTGCGGCGCCTGTTCCGGCGACGAGGGTGGCGGTGAGCTCCGTTGCTGCTGTAGGGTTTCTTTGTCGCAACATGGGGAGCGCGTCCGCCCAAGACGCCCAGTACGCGCACTCGGCCGCGCGCGCGGCTGACCTGAGTCCAAGGCCTCCGAGGCCGAGCGGCAGCGAGCTCACTCGGGAGAGCCTCTCTGCTTCAGCTGGCGCGGGGTCGAGGTCGAGGAGGTCGCGCGGCGCCTCCTGCAGCCCGCGGTCGTGGGCCTCGGCGTAGGACCACGACAGCGTCGGAGGCAGCGTGCGCAGGACGTGGTTGCACCTTGGCACCGCGCAGTACAGCAGGAGCGCACAAGCGCACTGAAGGTCTGGCAGGTTTGGGAGTTCTTGTAGGAAGCTGCGCTCCTCGTCCGTCCTCTGCTGCGTCAGCCGGGCCGCGAACGCCGCGGCGCCCAGGGGCGTGCCAAGTACCTTGAGGCCGCGGTGCTCCTCAGGCGTGCCGGCGCCGCCAACCCACACGTCTGTGCCCAACGACAAATGCCCTGCTGGTTCGAAGCCGCCCCGGTTCCACATGCGGCACTTCCCGAGGTTCGCCTCGATCCCTGCCCCCTCGCGCATGGCAGCGGTCACCACGCGGAAAGCCTCTGTGCCTCTGTGGCGCGCTCTGGTCTGCAGACAATGTAGACGTCGTCCAAGTAGGCGATCAGCGTCTCGCCCGGCTGAAGCTGCGCGCGGGCTCTCTCCAGGGCGCCATGCTGAGCCAGGGAGTACAGCGCCGGCATGAGCGGGTCGCCTTGCTCTCCGCCTTCTCCCTGCCTCACCTCGTGCGCGACTCCTGCATCGGCTGTCCAGAGGTACGTCGACGGCTGGCCGTAGGAGAGCAGGACGTATGGGACCATGGCGGAAGCCACTGCTGCTCCGAGCGCTCTGCTGCCGACGTCTCGGCCCACCGCCCGAATTCTCCCAAGTGCCAGACCGCCGCATGGAATGGTCCCCGGAGATCGCTGCACGAGACACCAAAGGGATGATCACGCTTTGCCCACGCTGCGGGGCGCGCTGCGCTGTCGACACGATCGCGCCACAGGGCGGCCAACAGATGTGCGCGAGGTGCCTAGAGCAGGGCACGTGGACCGCGGAAGCCAGCACGGCCGAAGGCGAATGGAGGTGCGCCTTGTGCGAACCAGACGCATGGACCAGAGAAGTGCCGTCTGCCCCACCACCAGCCCCGCCAGGGCCAGAGCCACCACCACCAGCCCCCCCACCAGGGCCAGAGCGAGCCGCCGCGATGCCGCCACAACACAGCCCTTTCGCCGGCTGGGCCCCACCGCAAGCGCCCCTCCAGGCACGCACCAACTCGGCAGTGTACGTGCCCCTGCTGCTAGCGGCCGCCGATCTTTTAGACCCAAGCGAAGGGGCGCAGTGGAGTGAGCACCGCCTCACACAGGCCTGGTGGCAGCCGACGGTAGAGACGTTGCGGCTTGCAGGACCTGTACTAACAGGGCCCTTTGTCCAAATGCTGGCGTACACCGACGCTCGGCCCGGGGAAGTACCAGCGGTGCTTGCTGCAGACGGAGGAGAACGCCCAAGGCACGTATCCTTTGCGCCAGTCGCCCAGGCCGTGGCGCACAGCAGCACCGGCTACATACAGCCGCTAGTGCTAGACCTCCTCCTCGAAGCATTCGGCGGCGGCGTGCTTGCACGAGGAGTTGACGCACGTACAAACGAGCTGCGCAACCCAGGTTTCTGGGCAGACGCGGCGCCTCCGCCGCCGCTCCCACCGCCAGGAGCGCCCCAGGCGCCGGAGCTTCCTGGAGACCAGCACGCGAACGGCCCTGCCGCCGTGGCGGGCAGAGGCGCCCCCAGAGACAGAAGCGGAAGAGGCGCCAGAGAAAGCAGACGAGGAAGAGGCGCCAGAAGAGGCCGAGGCGGCGGAGGAGGGGGAGGAGGAAGCCCGAGCAGCGGCAGCGACGGCGGAAACACGGGCGCGGAGGAGGGAGACGCCAACGACGGCGACAGCAACTCCAGCACCGAGGAGACCGACCACGAGGCCGAACCAGCGCAGGCCCCAGCCCCGAGCAACGGACCCACCGAAGAGTCCTGGGCAGCTCTCGGGAGCATCGACCTCCAACAAGAGCTACGGAGATTCGTGCCGACACTACAGAACGTGCCACGTTGCCTGCGCGCGGAGACCCGGATGGCGTTCACCACGGCCCTGAAGAGGATCAAGCGAGGACACGACCAGGGAAACCAAGCAACAACCCACCAGGGTTTTTTTTTGTCAAAAAAAAACAATCCCCTCCTCTCAGCGCAGCAGCGCAAGTGCCAGCGCCCCCCCGCGCGCACACGGTGAGCGCGGGGCGGGGGCGCGCCCCCAGGGGGCCGGGGGTTTTCGGCCGAAGCCAGGCGAACCCCGAACCTCCCCCGAGGCCGCCCCGCCGCCGCCCGGCGGCGCGTCGCCCTCAGGGCCCGGCCCGTCGCCGCCAGCCGCCTGCCGCCTGGGCGGCCGCCGCCACAGCAGCCGTGTTTTCGGCCGCCGCCGCCGCCGCCGTCGCTGGCTGCCGTCCGCGGGACGTCGGGCCCGCAGCGGCCAGGCCGTCTTGCCAGCCGCGCCGGGCTTGGCCACCAGCGCCTGCAGCCGCCTCCCGCCGGCGCCGGCCGCGGCGGCAGAGCCTGCTGCCGTTGCTCGCCCCCCCCCTCGGGTCCGCCGCGGGCTGGCCAGCCAAGTGCCTAGGCCCCAGTGGCGGGCCCGCGCCTGCCGAAGGCGCGCCGCCGCCAGCGCGAGGGGCCAGGGAGACCGCCAGAGCCCGCGGCCAGAGCATGCCGTTTTCGCACGCGCCGACTTCGGCACTGTAGCTGATGAAGACGCTCGGCTCTGGCTTCGGATCCCGGGTCGCCCGGGAAACCGCCTCAGCCCGCGTCGACAGCATGCCCTTCTCGCTCGCGCCGAGTCCGGCATTGCAGCTGATGGCACCTAGCGCGGTTATCTTCGGCTCCCTGTCGCTGAGTAGCGGCAGAGCCCGCTGCCACTGAGCGCCCTTCGGGCACGCACCGATCCCAGCGCTGTAGCTGATTACGTCTGGCACCAGCTTCGCATCCCACATCGCGCTGAGCAGCGCCAGAGCTCGTTGCCGCTGATCGCCCTTCTCACATGTGCTGATCCCGGCGTTGTAGCTGATCACGTTGGGCCGCAGCTTTGATTCCCGCATCTCGCTGACCAGCGCCAGTGTCCGCTGCTCCTGATCGCTGGTCGCGCCTTCCAGGATCCCTGCGCTGTAGCTGATTACGTCGGGTACCAGCTTCGCATCCCACATCTCGTTGGGCAGCGCCAATGCCTGCTGCCACTGTCTCCTCCTCTCGCACGTATTGAGACTGGCATTGAAGCTGATGACGTTGGGCTGAAACTGTGATTCCCGCATCTCGCGGGGCCCGCTGCCGCTGCCCGCCGCTCCCACATGCGTTGATCCCAGCGCTGTGCCTGATTGCGTCGGGCTCCAGCTTCGCATCCCACATCTCTCCGTGCGGCGCCAGAGCCCACTGCCACTGCTTGCCCTTCGTGTAGGCTTTGATCTCATCATTGGAGCTAATGACGTCGGGCCCCTGCTTCGCATCCCGCATCGAACTGAACAGCGCCAATGCCCATTGCAACTGCCCCCTCTTCTCGCATGCGCTGACCCCAGCGTTGTAGCTGATGGCGTCTGGCTCCAGCATTGCGTCCACCGTCTCGGCATGCAGCGCTATCAGTGGGAAAGCCTGCTGCCACTGCTCGCAGTTCGTACACGCTCTGGTCCCGGGAGTCCCAGGGCGGATCCCAGAGTTGTAGCTGATGGCATCTGGTTCCGACCTCACTTCCCACATCTCGCAGAGCAGCGATAGAGCCCGCTGCCACTGCTCGCCTTTCGTGCACGCGCTGATCCCGGAGCTGTAGCTGATGACATTCGGCTCCGATCTCGCTTCCCACATCCCGCTGAGCAGTGATAGAGCCCGCTGCCACTGCTCGTCTTTCGCGCACGCGCTGATCCTGGAGCTATAGCTGATGGCATCTGGCTCCACCTTCGCCTCCCACATCTCGCTGGGCAGTGAGAGAGCCCGTTGCCACTGCTCGCCTCTCGCGCATGCGCTTATCCGAGAGCTGTAGCTGATGACACTTGGCCCCACCTTCGCCTCCCACATCTCGCTGAGCAGCGGGAGAGCCTGCTGCCACTGCTCGCCGTTCGCGCACGCGCTGATCCTAAAGTTGTAGCTGATGGCATCTGGCTCCAACCTCACTTCCCAAATGTCGCAGAGCAGCGATGTAGAGCCCGCTGCCACTGCTCGCCTTTCGTGCACCCGCTGATCCCAGAGCTGTAGCCGATGACACTTGGCTCCACCTTCGCCCCCCGCATCTCGCTGAGCAGTGGGAGAGCCTGTTGCCACTGCTCGCCGTTCGTACACGCGCTGATCCCAGGGCTTATCCCAGAGGTGTAGCTGATGGGCTGATGGCATCTGGCTCCAATCTCACTTCCCACATCTCGCAGAGCAGCGATAGGGCCCGCTGCCACTGCTCGCCTTTCGCGCACGCGCTGATCCCAGAGTTGTAGCTGGTGACATTCGGCTCCGACCTCACTCCCCGCATCCCTCTGAGCAGCGATAGAGCCCGCTGCCGCTGCTCGTTTTTCGCGCACGCGCGGATCCCAGAGCTATGGCTGATGGCATCTGGCTCCACCTTCGCCTCCCACATTTTGCTGGGGAGCGAGAGAGCCCGCTGCCACTGCTCGCCTCTCGCGCATGCGCTGATCCCAGAGCTGTAGCTGATGACACTTGGCTCCACCTTTGCCTCCCACATCTCGCTGAGCAGCGGGGGGGCCTGCTGCCACTGCTCGCCGTTCGCGCACGCGCTGATCCCAGAGTTGTAGCTGATGGCATCTGGCCCCAACCTCACCTCCCACATCTCGCAGAGCAGCGATAGTGCCCGCTGCAACTGCTCGCCTTGTTGTGCACGCGTTGATCCCAGAGTTGTAGCTGATGACGCTTGGTTTCACATTCGCCTCCCAAATCTCGCTGAGCAGCGATTGGGCCTGCTGCCACTGCTCGCCGTTCGTACACGCGCTGGTCCCACGGCTGATCCCAGAGTTGTAGCTGATGGCATCTGGCCCAACCTCACTTCCCACATCTCGCAGAGCAGCGATAGAGCCCGCTGCCACTGCTCGCCTTTCGCGCACGCGCTGGTCCCAGAGCTGTAGTTGATGGCATCTGGCTCCACCTTCGCATCCCACATCTTGCTGGCCAGTGAGAGAGCCTGCTGCCACTGCTCGCCGTTCGCATACGCGCTGATCCCAGGGCTGTATCTGATGACATTCGGCTCCGATCTCGCTTCCCACATCCCGCTGAGCAGTGATAGAGCCCGCTGCCACTGCTCGTCTTTCGCGCAGGTGCTGATCCTAAAGCTATAGCTGATGTCACTTGGATCCACCTTCGCCTCCCGCATCTCGCTGGGCAGCGAGAGAGCCCGCTGCCACTGCTCGCCTCTCGCGCATGCGCTGATCCCAAAGCTGTAGCTGATGACGCTTGGCTCCGCCATCACCTCCCATCTCCCTCCTCCTCCTCCTCCTCCTCCTCCTCCTCCTCCTCCTCGTCCTGAC